CTATGATTCTATGATTTTTTCATGGTTTAGTGGGCCTGGTGGTGTTGGGTTGACGGTTGGACTTGATGATCTTAGAGGTCTCTTCCAACCTTAATGATTCTATGATTCTATGATTGTATTGCTGGCATAAACAGCTTTTAAGTGACTTCAGAATGTGTGATATCATGGGCAGGACTTGCGTTACCAGTTCCTGTAACCCACCAACAGCCAATCCGTCTACATTTTGTGTGGAAAAAAGGCAACTGGGTGCTGATACAGTGTTAATACAGCTCGTCCAGAGCAAAGCCTGTGGATGCGGGGCTGTTAGGAGGAAATGTATTGTTCATGGGGGGGGGGTGCTGTCCTTTTGTAGACAGTCTTACTTCTCTGTAGTATAGCATATAGCATACAGGAGTATACTGACTTTAATTAGTTGTTCAGAGGAAAACCAGTAACTAGTGAAGCAGGGAAACTATGTCTCCAGGAGGTGATCTTTTGTATTCTACTAGTTTAATTGTTTCCATTACAAGCTTTTTTTTGCATTCTTTTAACAGAAAAGAGATTAAACAGTTGCTGTCTGAGCTGGATGAAGAAAAGAAGATCCGTCTACGATTGCAGGTACTTAAATTATTTTTAATGTTATGGAAGTATTGGCAGGTTTGATTTAGCCTCAGGTATGGAACATAAAATTCTGCTAAGATACTTAGATTCCAGTGAATCAAAAACTACTAACATTTCTTAAAGGGATATACCTGTTCCCTTCACAGTGTTGCCAGTCTGTGTCATATGTATTGCAATACAGGGTTCTTACTGAAAAGCCTGATAATTACCTAAAAATTTATCAGCACAAGTAGACAAATTAAAAAAAAAAACAAAACAATATAGGATTCAAACTATGATATTTTTTAGTCTCAGTTTTAATGGCTTGATTTTGTCACAGATGAAAATCATGTCTTTTTAAATTATTTGCTCTCTCCCAAAACTTTATATTTTGTAGTAGGCTTGTCTTAGTGTTGATATGCTTGGAATGTTATTTCATATAGTAAGGTTTTTATGTCTGCTTTACAGACTGTACTCAGGTTGTCTTTACTAAAGCATCCTAAACAATATAAAAGAAGGTGCTCTGTTTAAGAGCCCAGTTACTGCTACCATAGTTTGAATGGTACCTTAGCTCTAGATGCTGTCGTGCCGGCTTAGTCATTTTCCAGGTAGCACGCTGCCCTGCTTGTGCGAGGGTGGCGGAGCTGGGCCTTTGCTAGGAGCATTGACTGTGCTGCTTCGATATGGAATGGCGTTGAAACTGCTTTTCTGGGTTTTGGGGAGTGATGTGCTTGATAAGGGTTTTAGCATTGATTATATTTTATATTTTTATGGTATAGGTCAGCTGTACTTTTTCTTTGTACTAGGGATAGAAAATAGAATTGTAATTTCACTGGGCTGCTCCTGCTCAGTAAAATGCTTGGGAACATGACAAAGGGTGGCAGAACTGGGGACCATCAATGTCTGTGCTCCAGGGCTGCCTGAAGGACTTTATGCATGCAACCACATAGGAGTACGGCTTCTAGTAACACACAATTAATGTTCAGCTAAAATTGATTTTTTTTCAGATAAAATCAGTGAACATTTTTAATAGTGGTTATTGATTTAGTCTAACAGGCCAAACTGTTCAGAGGTCTGGATTCTGCCTCCAAGGATAGCTTTACATCTTTATACAGAGACCCGCAGTGATGGTTTTAAAGTTATGATCTTATAGCTGAATGCTTTTACTCCAGTTCAAATGTTGCTTATACTGGTAAATGTTCAGATGCTAGCCCCAGTGGCATAAGTAGCTTTACATGAAGACGAGAGTTTAACAAACAGAAGTTGCGTTAGTTTAAGAGTGCTCTGATAGTCATAAAGTAGCACAGCTCTCAGTGCATGTAGTAAAGAAGACTGCCTTGACGGTACGGCGCGGTTGAGCGCTGCAGGTGTGTTTGAATAAACCTAATACCCCTGCCTCAGGGTTTCCAGTGTCTGTCAGAGGGGCCAAGTGTACAAGTAGGGCTGATGATGGTTTCAGCCACATCCTTTTACCACACGGCTCTACATACACCAGAGGCCTTAAGGTGCCTGGACGCAGGCTTGACGGGTGTAGAAGGCAACCGCCATCCCTCCAGCAAGAGCCATCCCTATAGGAGAGGGACGATGGGGTTTGCTCGTCAGCTACCAGTGCTCATTGTCAGCAGTTCAGTTTACTTGTGCCGGGTGCAAGTGCAGCAGCTGGTGCACGGACACGGTGCTCATTCTGCAAGTAATTTCTGGCAGCGAGCTGCCTGGCTTGTAAAAGTTGTAATTTAAAGAGTTTGAAAAGTCTTGTGGTACATTCAATGACTATACTTGCCAAGCTCTGAGGGGAGGGAGCCGTGAGTGGTCATCTTATGCAGCTGAAAAGGTCACCTCAGTTTGTGAAATCTGTGGAAATAAGGGTAGCATAAAACCCGTACTCGACACCTGTGGACAAGATGGAACATGTGCTTTTCAAGCGGCATCAACTGTGCCTCTGTTAAAGCATCTAATTTCATCACAAATCTTTTTTTTTTTTATTTTCAGATGGAAGTTAACGACATAAAGAAAGCTCTTCAATCAAAGTGATACTTGATAGGTGGAATGTTGCATTATTCTTCATGACTGAGACTCAAATTTATGCCCCAGCCAAAATAACTTTGTGCCAAATGATTTAAGAATTGCCTCAACATCCCTTTATTTGAAGGATTAGCACAACAGTTTTTGATAGCACAACAAAAATACCAACAACGAGGACAAAATTTCCACCTGAAGCAGTGCTGTGCGGCACTAGTTGTGACTGAAATTGATCTTCTTGTGCTAAAGGCTCTCTACTTCAAGATCCTAGGTGAAATGAAAACTCAGGCAGTTTAGTCCATAGTGGTACTATTTTGATGATATTTTTCCATAAATAAAGTGTATTTCAGATTATCTGTTTACAAGCTTTATGATTTTGACTTTTGGTTTTTAATTGTCTTTTGTCACAGATTTTAAAATGTTTGTACTGCATATAGCCAGGAATGAATGTTAATGTTGGGGCTGGAGGGATAATTTTTGCTTCAAGATAGAACAGCCTACGTTTTGTTATGGTTTTCAGTTCTGTTAAATACACAATTTTATGTCCCCAAATCCCCTACAATTTAAACTTACGTTGTATACAGTAACGTATTTACAAGAAGGAAACAAACCAACAGAAATCTGGTCTTTGCAATGATTTGTGCCTTTCTTTGCCACACACTGACCGGAGCCGGTTGCAAGCCAGGTCTCCCTAATGTAGCTACCATGATGACTCCTGTCCCCAGTGTCCGGCGGAGGTCACCTTCTCAGCGTACAGCTGCTCAGTCAGTAGAGCCAGGTTTGTGCGAGGTGGCAGGACAAAAGGGCGCCGCTGAGAGCAGCTTTGTCGTGAGCAGCTGTGGCTTTTTAGCTTTCCTGGTTTTGATAGGCCTCTCCCTCAACTTGAATGTTCATCTCCGCTTGATTTTCATTAGATGATTTAAATGCCCGCCTCTGTCCCCAATTTTGCACAGAGTGAACAGAATATGCATTATTAAAGCAAAAATAAATAAAAGTAATCTATAAAACATGAATAAAAAGTTGTATTGTTTCATGCACAAGGTTCTCTGTCGTGTGACATTGTTTCATTTGCTGTTTATGTGGTATTGTTTGCTACATTATGTTGTACACTTATCGACTGATACACTTTATAGTCCTGTTTTTGCAGGAGGACTTTCTCGTTATCGTTTTATTGAACCTTACTTCATTTCTTCCAGTTTCTCTGTTAGCTTTCGTCCTTTCAAAATAAGGTCTCACGTTCTTCTGTTTGTGGTTTCGTGTGTTCTTTACTAGCCGCGGAGTATCTCATACCTTGTCAGCAATCTCTGTTGAGTTTATGCAAAGCATTTAAATAACGGATATTTTTGCATAGCGTGGAGTGAGCGGGTGAGTGGTATTGGTGATGCTTCAGAGCGACCAAAAAAAACCCACACAAAGGATCTATTTGTCATCTCATAAAATGCTAGAGCTGGCTCCAGCCGGCATATCCTGCATCACAGCTAACCACCCTGCCTGCCAGGAGCTGGATGAGACGTGTTCAGTTGGCTGGTCACGTTCACACATGGTTGGCAGAGTTCCCATGATCTTTTTGATATGCATAGATATATAAAATACACACTCCACCATACCCAAATCTTGCTTTACGAGTCTCAACTGGCAATACGGAACCTCACTGTTGGGATGATTTCCTCTACCATAGCGTCTGCCTCTATTGTAACAGTGGTGTCTGAGAGTGAAAGATCGGGTAGTGAAACTTGAGAATTTTTTAAAAAGTCCCAATACCTTGCTCAATGTACTCGAACGGAAGCACTAATAAAATATTTTATCACTGAAATGCTCTTATTTAACATTTATAAATAACTGCATTAAAATATTTTTGTACAAAGAATGATAGTCCCACCATAGCTTTCCAGCAATAAAGATTTCTGGATTACTTCTGTGTTTTTTTGTGAAGTTAGTAGCAGAGTTAGGAGGGTTAGGAAATGAGGGATAAGGAGTAAGAATTCTGTTTGGGTTTGTAGCCATACATGTGCAACATGGATCCAGAAAGGAACAGCTCTGGCTTCCTAACTGCATCCCTGGAAAGAGACAAACTATTGTATGGGTGGTGAATAAAGTATTGATTCCTGAGTTGTACCTCAGAAATATAAGAGACATCTCAGAAATATTGCATTTTTTGCAAATGAAATTTGCACGGAGTTTCCTTATATCAGATTACATCCTTTTTTTTTTTTTCCTCCTGTTGAGAGGTTGACTTGTCATTTTATAAATCCAAGTTAGAAGTCCAACATACCATGCTTTGTAAAAGAAGGTTAAATCAGATTTTGTGAAAATGCTTTGTTTTCAAAGTTGATTATTCTGGGAGAAGAGAGTTTGTAGAAATACAAGCTCTTCTTGCTGCATTTCATTATGATAATAGAAAGTATTTCACATAACACATGGATTTTCCCTTTTTAAAGAGGGTCACTTATGCATTAAACCTGTGGATATAAACTGCTGCTTTTAAAAATGTTTGGGTTTATATTTAAAGAAAAACAGAAAGTGCTGGTGAGCTACAAAGTGATTTTGACGTGAAAATGATTAAATATTGTTGTTTGAAGAGTTGTGTAAAATGACTTTTCATTAATACGCACACACCAGTCTGGTGGCAGACTTCTGTTTACGTGTAGAAGTCAGGTGTGAAACATCAGGCTCTTGCCTTTGGATGATAATATTCGAGTTCTTGATTTGGAAAATTTTGGGGTTATTAAGAAAACAGTTTCATGTTCTCTTTATGTTCTTTTTTCAACTCTAAAAGGAGCAAGTATTTCTTAACGTGAGATCATAGCACTTTGCACTTAAAAAAATTCTACATGGAAATAAGATGGTAAATATTCAAAGTGTTTATTAAGTTCTGTTACTTAAATTTCATCTTCTGTGTTTTTCTTATTAACGATCCATTTGTAAATGAGCAAAAGGGTTAGATGAACCTGTTGTTATGCTAACAGATCAAAGGACTGAACACAACTATATGCAGTGAATTTTTGTTTCTAGGTGTATGATAGGCAGCTGCCCAGTAAGTTTTGTGAGCTACCTTGTGTATGAAATGTCCATAGGAGTGCCGTACTCCGTGACAGCCAGGACCGAAATTTGCACCCGTGCAAGCAAGGGGAGAGAGCGCTGTAAAACACCCTCAGAAATTCATGTTCTGCTGAAGTTACAGAACCGTTTCACTCATCTTCTTGTGGAGTTGACTCACGTGTGAGCAGGCCCCACTCTCCCCCTGCTCACCTCCGCACCAGGCTGCCCCCCTGCAGGGGTGGCTGCCCGCGGGCTGCGGTGTTACCAGCTCCTCTGCGCAGCGCCCCGCGCGTGGAGTCTGTGCCAGCACAAAAATATGTTTGCTGCTGCAGAGCTGGTGTGGTGTGAAGATGTCTGGTGTTCCTGTGAATTCCTCGGCCATGCCACATTGCGGTCGTAACTGTGCTGACAGCTCTCACACTTTTAGCCTCGGTTTGGGGCTTTTATGCTCCCGTGGGCCTGCCTTGGGAGCAGGGGGAGGCTGTGGTCGGCGGCGCGGCAGTTCGTGGGTCCCACAAATACCCAAGCGCTGGAAGCCAAAGAGAGAGTACAGCTGGGGTGGGGGTGACGTGCAGCGCTCCTGCCTGCGGGAACGGCCGGTCAGCAGTCTCTGCTGCAGTGCAAGGCTGGGAAGAGGTGTGAGGTCTCTGGTGTCTGCTTCTCCTCTGACGAAAGGACCCTGGGGCTGGAAACAGGACAGCGGCACGTTGATGAGGAAAGTGTGAAGGCTTGTTAGAGAGAAGATAACTTTCACACAGGCGGGCTGTGGTTCGAAAGGCAGGCAGGAATACCGCTTAGAAGTAGAAACCACCAACCACTCTGCAAATTCTGCATTGAGGAGGCTTTTTGACCTTGTCGGGGTGGCAGCGCTGCTGGGCAACTGTGGTTCCCGTAGGCTTTGGTGAGGAGAGGGTCCTCCAAGCATTGACGTCTGTTCAGGGCAATCCTTAGGTTAAAAAGAGCCAGAGAGGGTGGAGCTGAACTCCCCACACTAAACACCGGCTACTTGTATCCATGGCTATTAATACCCTTCAGCCAGAAATTAGATTTTGCTTGGCACCTTTGGCCTCAGCTGACTCTTGAGCTGGCCTAGGGATTAGCAGCTGGTTGCGTGCACCCCAGGCCCATTCACTCCCCGCTTCCCGCAGCTGCTTCCCTCCTCCTGCCCTCCCACCCTGGCCCCCCCACCCCAGCCATTCCCTGCCTTTGGAAAATAACCAACCTCCTTAGGTCATCAGCCCTGAAGGTGAGGGGGTGCCAGTGCTTCCCAGCCTGGAATAGAGCAGCTGAGGAAGCAAAAGACACTTTTTAAATGTCCGCAGGAAGCTGCGGTGCTGTGTGCGCTGCTGGGGGACGAGCAGCCTCGGCGCCCACCAGCCTGGTGTCAGGCAGGCCAGAGCTCTGGGCCGCCCTCCCCTCCGCTTTCTACTCAGATAACGAAGGTTATCATCGGAGCCACTCAACACGCTGTTGTTTGGTGTTAGCTCTTTTAATTAAGATGATTTCCAATCCCACGCAGGCACAAACTTTTACAGGTAGCTCATATAAATCGCTGGCAGCCTCAGGAACAGATGCTTGAGAGATTTTCTTTGTGCTGCCACAGTCAGGCTTTTCTTGAACCAGCAGCGCAGTTGAGTTTCCCCTTTCAGTGCTCACAGTTCCACGATTAGACAGTGTGGGGGTCTGGAGTGCAAACAGCTAAACTAACAAAATGGCTTAATGCTCCTGTGCATTTTTTTTTTAAGTATTAGAAATTTAATCATATTTTTAAATGTGTTAGTACTGTAGGATGAAAAATTTCAGATGTAAATTAATTTTGTTGAAATTGTTACCCTACAAACTGGAGTGCTCTCTTAGTGTATTTTAGCAAGTTAATTAACTATAATTCTAGACAAATCTCTAGAACCATGAGAATAATTGTTCTGACACAGTGTAAAGGTTACAGTAGGGAGGCAGGGCCTAGCAATCTCTCTCTCAGCCCCTCAGATAAGTAGGTTTCAAACTCTCTTTTCTTCCTTTGTTTATGTAGGAAAAGCAACTGGAGAATGTAGATGATGATAGTCACAAGAAAACATAATTGCCTTTTATCAGTATGACCTTAAAAGTTGTAATAGGTTGTTTCTCTTGGAGGAGAAAACTTGAAAATTAGAACAACAAAGCAAATTAGATAAGAATGACCAGGTTTCACAAGCAATTTTGAATATCAGAATGTTAAAGAAGTATCTGTTTTCAAAACTTCCTCTGGTAAAACCCCTTCACTTCACTGCACCCAGACCTGGCGTTTTCATTTGCTGTGGGAGATCAGTTTCCTCAGTACGACGAGCTCTTCCCTGCGTGCTTCCTCCCAGCTAGTGAACAGCAAACGTGCTTCCTCAAAGGGACCCATCAGGCCTCCTTGGATAACAGCATCTTCACCTCCTTGGATAACAGCAGCAAAGAGGTTGGGATTTTGTGAGAGCACTTTTGGGGCTGCTCTTAGAGGTAGTGAAAATTAAACTGGGCAGCTGTCCCTGCTACAGGATGACCCGTCACCTGGGTTACCCCCTCCTGGGGATGGTTTTCGTTGTGAAGGGCACATCAAGTGCAGGAGAAAGCACAGTTCACACAATCTGTGCACCGTGCTCTTTCTCCTAGCACAAAGCACCAAAAAGCAGAACAAGAGCTACGGAAGGACACGTAGAAAAGTAGGTGCACCTGCATGGAAATTGCTGCTGCTAGATAATTTGGCTACTCTGGATTCAAAGAGCCAAATTTACTGAGCCCCGCTGGAAGCACAGATGCAGCCGTTTAGCAAATGAAAGCACAAGACAGGGGGAAGCAGGACATAAATTTTGAGACCCTAGCAAAAGCGGTGTTGGCTGGAGACAGCTAGTTCATTAATGGATGACAAGTCTCTCACCGGAGGTTCAGGATGTTTGCGCTGTGATTACATAGTCGTGCCTGGTGTGTGTCACTGATCTCAGGGGAAGAGAAAATTTCTGATGCTCTGACCTGAAGC